GTACGTTTCACAACCTCATAAACTCTACTAAAATATTTACTGTTTCGTGGGTTAAAAAAAGTTGTAAGTGTGTTTTGTGACGAAAACAAAAGTCATCTGCAGAAAGTTAAATTATGAGTTTTTATATAAACACAATAAGGCAAGCGTTACAAAATCAGTTGTATCTACAACTAGATATGACTGGTACTCTATCAGTTACAACGATTGAAATAACTTTGTCTTAGCCTATATATTGCTAAACAAAAGTTTTGAAAAATAACCCTTAAATTAAGATTCCATAAAAAAAGAATGAAATCTCAGAGGTAAAGTTAGATACACTAATTAATTACTGTAAAATTAACATAGTTTAATTGCAGGATATTGTCGAAGATGTAACTGCATCAGTTTTTATTGAAAATGAAGATAAACAATTACTAATATTTAGTATATATATATATATATCTTACTTTAAAAGTGATCCATTGTGTGTGGGTATCACCCAGAGTTGACTGGCTAGATTACCATAAATTTTATATGGTAACTGGAAACTGTCCGGCGGTATACATGGGCTATCTTGTTTTAGGTATTTTGCTCGAGAAGGGTGTAAACAAAGCCCCTAAAATAGGACACATTTTCACTTTTTTTATAGAACTTCGGCTTTGAATTTAGACACAAGTACTTAATCAGTGAAATGAGTTAATTACTTTTCACAAGGCAGGATATGCAACCAGCATGTAATGAGGTGATCAGTGATTTAAATACAAAATAAAGAAGGAGAACATTATCTAACAGTGTCGTTTATACAGTTTTTGTTACCTTAATGGGTTCCCTGAGCTAGCGTATGTAAGCAAGAAATACATTTATTAATATTTACTTTTGTGATGGTGATGCCATCTGTTGACACAGTAGAGTTGAACTATTTCAACGAAATTTGCTGTAAAAAAAAAAAGAAGTACAGAACAATTGGCAACCGATAGATGGTGTAGACGAGTTCAGAATAGTTTAGAGTTTGTATAATATTAATTTTATAGAAGCAAAAACTTTTAAATGCCTTTTTCACATCTGGAATGCTATGTAACCATGTGTACTTCTAAAAACACACTTCCGTTCACTCTAGCTTTCAGTTAGTCACAAGATGTTTTTGTAGGTATTTGTCAGTTTTATACACATGTCCAACATGTATATTACTTAGTAACCTAAAGCTACGACATCAGACGAGTATTGCTAGAGCCACTTGTTTACTTGAAATAAAAATCTACAGATGGCGTTTTGGTAATTTGAAAAAAATGAGATATATCTATACAGTGTAAACAAAAAGAAAGAAAAACAAGTGCTCATAAGTTAATAGAAGCGTATTTAACGCTTCAAACTACTCGGTGCACTTTTTTTTTTATCAGTTATAGGTATAGAAATGTATTAGTTTTTCTGCATTACTTTGGGGCCCGTCGGTGCGTTTCCCTGATTGTATCGACGTTAAATATACTACTGCATATTATTCGTTGAAGAGTTGTTGCTATTTTTTCTTTGTTTATTCTTTGAAATAGACTGCTATACAAACACCTAAATAGTTTTCTGCATCCACAAATAAGCAGCCCGGCTATTTTGTGGATAACGTTATTCATGTGTTTTAGAATTATTATTTTTTTGTTATTACTTTCAGTAAAATATTTTATCGTAACACTTTACAAGTTACTTTTCTATTTTCATATCAGGGTTTGAAAATGTGAAAATTCAAAGCCTATATATATTAAAGGAAAATATCTGTTGGACAAATGAATTGAACAAAGTTTGAGGCTCTAAATGTGAGGAGAAAGTCCAATCAATGTGCTATTTTTGACTTCTGTAAAGTTTCAGTGATAAGTGTTCCATATTTATAAATATTAAAATATTTTCCGTACTTTCATGATTATGTACTTTGCACCATTCTCTTGAGAATATGAGGAATTGGCACACACACACACATAGAGAGAGAGAGAAAAACTATCTCAATCTGTCTTTCCAGTCGTCATTGGGGTCAGTATTATAAAAATTCCCGTTAATTAAGAGGTTTATTTGATCATAATTTGTCGTTGCTAATATTAACCATAGAGTTCAATTTTATGAAATTATATTAAAACAAGGTCAGTCCTGCTTGTCATTAACAGGTATCACTTATTTCTTGCGAATATGAACGATGTTGTTAATTGAAATCCAGATCACTTTGAAATGCGAGTGACCAATGTTTGTATGTACAAGTGTTCAAGAGGAAGGTAGATGAATTATATAATGGAATGTTATTATATACACAAATACAGTATGTTTATGTAATGGAATGTTATTATATACACAGATACAGTATGTTTATGTAATGAAATGTTATTATATAAA